TAACAAACTTGTGCATTAAATATAACCATATTCTGTTTTTTAAAAAAATTATGCCTGAACAACCAATTTTCCAAGCAACTGAGATGTATGATCACCATTGTTTTAACTTAATTAATAAGACTGAAACTCCCATACTGAAAGTAATATATAAGACCTCCATAAACTTGAGAGTGCAGCAGAATCACCTAAAAGGCCTGCACAAAAAGATTCCTGGCCTCATTCCAATAGTTTCTGGCTCAGTGGGACCCAAGCATATGCATTTCTAGTAAGTGATCAAGTGATGCGGATGCTGCTGTTTCATACCTGAAATAGGACCAGTTTAGATCAGTGGTTCTCAGCCTTGGCTGTGTATCAGCATTACATGAGATCTTTTAAACATACTGATGCTTGGTCCTCAGCCCTTAGCCAACAGAATCAATTTCTGAGGGCAGAGACTGGCATCTGTATTTTAACTGCACCAGGTTGATTCTGATGCACACCAGGCTTAAATAACAAGAACACAACTTGTGTCGTTGAAATTGTTTAGGGGCATAGCCTTGCAGACTTGAGGACTCTGGTCACTTAGCAATTGCCATTCTTGGCTTCAGGGAAAATTACACAAGCCATCATAGTAATTAGGGCTGACCGAAGGGGCAGGGCTCATCAGCCCCACCCTGTCCACTCAGAGCAGCTTGGCTTCCCTTTACATCATATCCTGTACACCTGGAAAAGTTTTCTTAAAAGACACCTAGCACAGTGGTAGATTAATTATAAATATGGTGATTATGAGGACACTGGATAATCAATGCTTTTAATCTATCCTTCCTATCTAATAATAAACAAACATGGTTATTAACCGTACCTCCGACACGCTTCCCATTGGCTAATCAGGACAATATGCAAATTAACTGCCAACCAAGATGGTGGCTGGCAGCCAGGCAGCTGAAGCGAACAGGAGGCTTGCTTGCTCCAGTGATGGAGGAAGCCAAGGTTCCCCACCTGCCGCCGCCGGGCTCTGAACTGCACTCTAAGAAATAATATTGCAATTATAGAAGCTAAACAAACCCAGAAACCTGCTTTCAGCCAGCCGGGCCTCAGAGCTGGAGCTGCAACAGTGTTTCAATTGTAGAAGCCATACAAACCCAGATACCTGCTTTCAGCAGCCGAGGTCTCAGAGCTGGAGCCGAGCCTCAGAGCTAAAGCCGGCTCTCAGCTCCAGTGACACCCATAGAAGGTAAATAAATCCCAGAATAAAAAAAAGAAAAAAGAAAAAAAGGAGAGGTTGGGAGCTTCAGTCAACCGCCAGCCTGAAAACGGCCCTCAGCCCCTCACCCAGATTGGCCAGGCACCCCAGTGGGGACCCCCACCCTGATCCGGGACATCCTTCAGGGCAAACCAGCTGGCCCCCAACCGTGCACCAGGCCTCTATCCTATATAGTAAAAAGGTAATATGCAAACTGACCCTAACAGCAGAAAGGCTGGGAATGACTGGTCACAATGACACACACTGACCACCAGAGGGCAGATGCTAAATGCAGGAGCTGCCCTCTGGTGGTCAGGGTGCTCTCACATGGGGGAGCTCTGCTTAGCAACAAGCCAGGCTGATGGCTACCAGTACAGTGGTGGTGGTGGGAGCCTCTCCTGCCTCCTCAGCAGCACTAAGGATGTCTGACTGCAGCTTAGGTCTGCTCCCTGCTGGCAAGTGGACATCCTCCGAGGGTTACCGGGCTGTCAGAGGGATGTCTGATAGCCAGCTTAAGCCCAATCCTCTGGGGAGCAGGCCTAAGCTGGCAGGTGGACATCCCCCAAGGCCTCCTGGGCTGCCAGAGGGATGGCTGCCAGTTCCCAAACTGCGAGAGGGCACAGGCCGGGCTGAGGGCA